CCCACTGCATTAGCCAAGTCAGTCAGCCAGCCAATAGGCCAGACAGACATACAGCCAACAACTACCAGCCAAAACAGTCCGAGATGTAACAGCTGTTTATATTTCAAGCGGTTATTTATTTGTTTGTTGTCTTGTATCAATTTCGGTGTTTCATGTTTCCTCTACGTGGCTTCCTTTGGTATTTAGGATTTTTGTTGGGTTGCTGCTTTTATTGGACCTTTGCTTCGGCGTTCTTTTTTTTTTTTTTTGGGTTTTGCAACACGCAGTGTAATTTAAGTGCAGCTACAAAGGAAATTTTTTTGTTCATTTTTTTTGAAAAAGAAGCAAAGATATTTGGTCATGTGAAGAAGATTCAAGTGGAAAATTTTCAAATTTTGTGTTTTGGAAGTTTGCACAAAGGCATTTTGGCGAAGAGTGAGTAATGTTAGGAGTTTTGTATTTTTATACCCTACACCACAAGGTGGTCAGGGTATTATGTCTTTGTGCATTTGTTTGTAACAGGCAAAAAGAAACGAGATAGACCCATAGTTCCTTTTGATGATCTACATAGAATCACATTCTGAGTCGATTTATGCATGTCCGTCCGTCCGTCTGTCCACGTATTCTTGTAAACAAAATGCAGGTCGCATTTATTATCCGATTGAGATGAAATTTTCCAAACAACATTTGTTTGGCCCAAGGACGAACCCTATTGAAATTGGAGATAATCGGTCAAAATTTAGATATAGCTCCCATATATATCGTCGTCCGATTTGGCTTTTTTTGTGCACCAAACGTGTAATATTAGCCCGAATAGTATGGAATTTTGCACATACAAGCAAATTAGTCCTGAAAATAAGTATGCCAAATTTGATCGAAATCGGTATAGCTATAGCTTCCATATATATTGTTCATCCGATTTGTCATTTTTGTCCTTCGCAGCCATAACATGCACTCTGTAACAACAATAATTGGGGAAATATATCAAATGCATCTCAGAAATATCTTTGCCAAATTTTATCGAGATCGGTTCAGATTTGGATATAGCTCCCATATATAACTTCGTCCGATTTACCTTTTATTGTTCACCAAATGTCTAATACTTGCCCAAATGAGATGGAATTTGGCACATGCGGCCGAATTGAGTCTAGAAGGTAATATAATTTGGTGAAGATCGGTTCAGATATAGCTATAGCTCCCATATATATTGTTCATCCGATTTGTTGTATTTGTTACCCACAGCCGTAATATGCACTCCGTAACAACGATATTCACGGTAATATATCAAATACAGCTCAGAAATATCTTTGCCAAATTCTATCGAGATCGGTTCAGATTTGGATATAGCTCCCATATATATCTTTACCTGATTTCGGCATATTTAGTCCTTTGAACTTTAAATTATAATTATAATCATAGCGTGTATGATTGAATTCTCCCATAAAAACTTTTAATTGTTATGCGGAACTCTACTAAATTAGCAAAGTGGTGTAGGGTATCATAAAGTCGGCCCCGCCCGACTTTAGGACTTTCTTTACTGGTTTTGATTCACATATATGTCAGTTGAAGGAGGGATTTCGATTATTAAGAAACGGAAGTCGTCAGCATTGCTGAATAAATTCCATACTGACTTACGCAAGCTTTATAATATTTCCCCTCAAGAAAAGTAGGAAAAAAGATGGTCATGAGGTTGTAGTTCCTCTAAACTTTAAAAATTACCAAAAAAAATTAATTTAAATGGAAAAAAAATTACTTAAAACTCATATTCTACCAAAAAAAAAAAAAAAAAAATGTATAATCTGTTCTATAATATATGAAATTAAAAATATTTCCTTCAAATTTTTTTTCATTAGACATTACCTTCTTAAATAAATGTTTCAATTTCACATTTTCATAGAACGAGACTTGAGATCAAAGAATCAGGGACGTAATTTGAACCCATATCACGTTTTAAGGGTGATTTGTCCTGAAGATGAAAAATAAATTAAAAAAAAATATGATTTCTTTGAAATAAAGATAATTTCAAAGGAAATCATCAATTTTTTTTATATTTTCTTCTTCAGGAAAAAAAATAAAAGTGGCATTTTTTCCATATTCCATACATATTTCGTAGTCTGTTCAATTTCATTTACCTGGTGCATCTAACAATAGAATACCCTACAATCTCACAAAATTATGAAAAAAGAGAAGAAACCAAACAACTACAACAAAAATGTAAACACTTGTGCACGTGTGTGTGTGTATACATTTTGGGGCCAAAATTGACCCCAAACCGAAACTCAGAGCGAATTCATCTATGAATCAACATTGAGTGTAATTAAATGAGTGGAATTGAGCGAGTCATTGCTCTCTGACGTACATACCCCCAAAAGAACAGTGGTGTGAACTGTGTTATCTAAAAACCAGTAAAGAAAGTCTTAAAGTCGGGCGGGGCCGACTTTATGATACCCTACACCACTTTGCTAATTTAATTTTGCTGCGCAAACAATTAAAAGTTTTTATGGCATTATAATTATAATTTAATGTTCAAAGGACTAAATATGCCGAAGCATTTGTATCTTTTAAATTCTGACTTGTATTGCCCATTTGGTGCACAGTTATTTTGAAATCGGATAAAAATATATATGGGAGCTATATCCAAAATTTCGATAAAATTTGGCAAATATATTTCTGAGCTGTATTTGATATATTTCCCTGAATATCGTTGTTACGGAGTGTATATTACGGCTGTGGATAACAAATATGACAAATCGGATGAACAGTATATATGAGAGCTATAGCTATATCTGAACCGATCTTCACCAAATTTGACATACTAGCTTCAAGACTCAATTCAATCATAAGTGCCAAATTTCATCCAATTTGGGCAAATATTAGACGTTTGGTGCACAATCAAAGGTAAATCGGACGAAGTTATATATGGGAGCTATATCCAAATCTGAACCAATCTCGATAAAATTTAGCAAATGTATTTCTAAGCTGTATTTGATATATTTCCCCAAATATTGTTGTTACAGAGTGCATATTACGGCTGCGGAGGGCAAAAATAACAAATCGGATGTACAATATATATGGGAGCTATAGCTATATCTGAACCGATTTCGATAAAATTTGGCATACTTATTTTCAGGTCCAATCTGATCGTATGTGCAAAATTCCATACTTTTCGGACTGATATTTCACGTTTGGTGCACAATAAAAGGCAAATCGGACGAAGATATATATGGGAGCTATATCTAAATTTCGACCGATTATCTCCAATTTCAATAGGGTTCTTCCTTGGGCCAAACAAATGATTTGTGCAAAATTTCATCTGGATAGGGCAATAAATGCGAACTGTACTTTGTTTACAAAAATACATGGACAGACGGACGGACGGACGGACATGCATAAATCGACTCAGAATATGATTCTATGCAGATCATCAAAAGGAACTATGGGTCTATCTCGTTTCCTTTTGCATGTTACAAACAAATGCACAAAGACATAATACCCTGACCACCTTGTGGTATAGGGTATAAATAGTCCTAATAGTACTCCAAGCAATATACTGCAAAATCTCTTTTCTTGATTTGAACAAATTTCAGAAATATTCATAAAAATCCGCGATGGAGTTCTGAAGTTAAAAATTATTAATCGGTTTTGGCCTCAGCAAATGTTTGAAAGGCATCCCTAGACTAACTCTAAATGTCCTGAAACGGATTTGGTCCAAAAGGACCAAGGGTCGAACGCAGTTATTTTGATGAGACACGTTTTGGTCGTATCCAATTGATGTGTAGCCCACGTAGGCATATGGCTGAGGGTATAAAAAAAAATTCTTAAAATTCCTCTTTTATAGCTGCCATGATACTTGAGAAAATTTTTGAAAAAAAAAATTGGCGACCCTTGGAAGCAATCTATATTTATAGTTGTGATGACCACTGAGAACAAAAAAATGGAGGCTGTGTTGATCCCTGAGAAATTTTATAAAAATTTAAAAAAAATCATGGGGCTGTGATATAACACAAAAAAAAAATTAAATCCTGAAAACATCCTTAAAAAATCATTCAATACTACTAAAATACGCTTTTTTGGACGGTGAAAAATTGTTATTATTTTATTTATTTATTTTTTTATTTTTTTAATCCAAGAAAAACACTAATTTCTGCAAATGTTCACGTTTATAGTTGTGATGCAAAAACCTGTAAAAAGCCATTAGAGTTCCTTAGATACAAATTAAAAATCTCTTAGGGTATAAAAAAATTCTTAAAATTCCACTTTTGTAGCTGTGATGATCCTTGAGAAAATTTTTGGAAAAACAAAAAAACATTGGCTACCCTTGAAAGCAATCTATATTTATAGCTGTGATGACCACTGAGAACAAAAAAAAATATTGGAGGCTGTGATGATCCCTGAGAAATTTTATAAAAATTAAAGAAAATCATGGGGGCTGTGATATAACAAGAAAAAAAATTTTAAATCATGAAAACATCCTTAAAAGAATCATTCAATACTACAAAAATACGCTTTTTTGGAGGGTCAAAAATTATTATTATTTTATTTATTTATTATTATTATTATTATTTTATTTTTTTTTTTGAAAAATCCAAGAAAAACCCTCATTTCTGCAAATGTTCACGTTTATAGTTCTGATGTAAAAACCTGTAAAAAACCATTGGAGTTCCTTAGAAAAAAATTAAAAATCTTTAAAAAAAATCTATATTTTTGTCTGCGGTTTGCCATAAGAAAATGTATAAAATGAGTCCTTAAAAAACAAGTTTATAAAAAAAATCGTAAAAAAAATGTTCTCAAAAATCAACTTTGCTACATTTCGCTTGTAGATTTTGTAAGAAAAATTGAAAAAGTATTTGTTAATTACTTTGGTTTCCGTTAGAAAATTCGTTAAAAATCACCGGTGGCCCTTGACAAAAACTCTTCAAATTCATAGATGTTGAATTCAAATAAATAAAGTCAAAAAATTAAAAATTATTTTGTTGAGTCCATTGTATTTTACTATTATTTTATTATGAATAACCCATCAGTTTTTTTATTTTTCGTTCATTTGTGTCATTCACACATTTCCAACCCTGAGAGCCCCCAACTGGGTAGTATCTTTAAGTTCTCTCTGTTTATCTGCTGTGTTGGCGAATGGAGCAACACATGACAATATTTTCTCTCCTCTCGTATTCGCTCTTCGCTGTATCTTTTAGAACTCAAAACAAATGCCCCCAATAGATAGATAATTTCGCCGTAGAATTTCAAGTAGAAAAGAAATAACGTAAAAGAAGATGAGAATGAAATGGAAAGAAAGCAAGGCAAAATACAAAAAAAAAAGCAGAAAAAAAAACAAACAAATCAAAAGAACGAAAGAAAACGATGAAGAAAAAAAAAACACTTTTCGCAAATGCACTATTATCCGCATGTGTTGGGTGCTCCTATTTTCAGTATCGCTGAGATCTTCGTAGAGTACGGTCGTGTGCTGACTTGGGAAATCTAAAGTGAAAACGCGACACGAAATTGAAAAGAAATAAATTAAAAAGCCAAAACAAAACGAGAATTTCACCCAAAAAATACAAGAAGAGAAATTACAATAAATAATAATAAAAAAAGAATAAAATAACCTATCAACCAAATTGGAATCACAAGCGAATTAAACAAAAAAGAAAATAATTTTTCAATTTTGAAATAAAAAATAAGAAAACGAGAAGAGAAAAATAAAGTAAAATAAATTGAAAACGAAATAAAAATTTGTTCTTATCAACTGTGAAATAAAACCATGTAAATACAATTTGCGCGTGTGATTTTGAAATTTGTCCGTATCGTCGTCGTCGTCGTCGTAGTCCCCCATCGTCATATGCAGTTGGTGTAAAAAAAAAATTTAAACAAATAAAAAATCATAATAAAATAAAATGCAATTTGAAATAAATTACCATAAAAAATGTAAATAAAATTTTTGAATTTTATAGTGTGCAGATAAGATAAATGTATTATTTAATTTATATATAAAAAAGAAATAAATGAAGTAGTCAAGTTAAAGGAAATATCAACATAGAATAAAATTCATATATATGTATATATAGTGGCTATATGCAAAAATATGTATATAAACAAATATTAAAAAAATATAAAATTTTAAAATAAAAGGAAATTAAATATGTTCAGATGTTTTAAAAACTTAACCAAAGCATAAAATATTATATTAAAAAATACAGAAAGCCGTTGAAATAGTAAATAAATGTCTTAAATTGTAAGAAAAAATCTTTTAAATGTCGAAATGCTATACCCTACACCACTACATTTACACAACACCTGTTTGCCACACCAAATATCAAATAATAGCCACATTGGACAAATAGTGCTGCAGCTTCTTAAAAAATAAAAAAAGCAAATAATGGGCCATTCAGAAAGATTTTCTCAAAAGAAAAATTCGGTTTCAATAAATTTGTAAATGTTCCTTGAAATTTCTAACTAATATAGATAGAAGCTACCGACGAAGCAATGGGACGATTCGAGGGTCTCTACAATTTTAGACATTTTTTTTCCAAAAATCCCATTTTTTCTGTTGGCACATTACTAGTCCCGAAAATGGGTTCGAATGGCATGTCTGGTCAAGTCGGCGGTAGGAACGGTGGAAAAAGTTTTTATGAGACATATCAATACTTATTTCTCCGATGTGGGAAAAATTTACCTCTGGTGAAAATTTCGAAGTCGACAATACAAAATATAATTACGGGGAGAATCAAGCGGATAATGAAATTTGAGCTTAAAGTAGAAGACACGTGTATCGGTGTTTTTAAATTTCACATCGCAAAGTGTTCTAAATCGAGGCGGCAAGTTTCGGTCTCTTTCACCTTTTTTTGGATATTTTTGGATTAAGATTCCTTGGTATCCCCTGTCATTAGATATATAGCGTCCTCGACAATATAAATGATAACACCGTGAGGATTATTTTTGCCGAATATTTTATCCCTCAATCGGCTCGATTAAATGGGTCTTTTTGGCCCTTTTGCAAAATATGGTTAAAAACTCCATTTAAGCGGGATCGAAGCAAGTCAAAACAGTCGACAAAATTATTTGTCATAAAATTCTACTCTAGGTCCCAGAAGACATTAGAACTCTAAATCTTACCTAAACGCCAGAAATGCATATCCATTAAAAACTCATTTTCGATGTAATGCCCTATTTCATGTGAGTTTATGCAAAATTTTACTACAAAAAATTATTTTAGAAAGATGATGTCAAAGACAAATATATTCTTCACAAAATTTCACTATAAGTCACCATAGGAAAGAAATCTATATTTATACCCTCAGCCTCATCGAAATAACGGTTTAAAAACCCAGGTCTCTTTGGACCAAATCCGTTTCAGAACATTTGGAGTCGACCTAGCGATGCCCGTCCGTTTGTCTGCCTGTCTGTCCAAACTTGGTACATCGTAATATTATTACCCAACTTAGATCCATGGGGCAGTATCGGTCTTTTAATACCTCCCCCCAGAAGTCGATATTTTCAAAAATAATAATAATCCGATTTCGGCCCCAACTATGCAAATCCTAATATTTTCATGAGTGTAAGATCAGATGCGAAAACGGACAATATCGGTCCACTCCATCAAGTACCTCCCCCACAAAGGGTCAACATTTTGAATAATTATAATTCTTATAAAATGCGAAATAAGAGTCCGATTGTCTTCAAATTTCACATATCACAATATTTTTGTGCGTACAAGATCTGGTGTGAAGATGGGATATATCGGTGAATCCCTTCTGGTACCTTCCCCACAAAGGGTCAAAGTATTGAATAACCAAAACGATCATGAAACGCGAAATTACCATCCGATTCCATTCAGACTTGGTACATCTCAATAGAGCCATCAATACAAGATCTGTTATAAAGATGGTTGAGATCGGACCATTTCTTCTGGTACCTCCCCCAAATACGGTTCAAGATTAAAAAAAAAAAAAAAAAAAAAACGCTCAAAGAAAGCGAAATAAGCATCCGGTTCTCTTCATATTTCATATATCCCATTACTTCTACCAACACAGTATCTGCTGTGAATATGGGATATCTCGACTCACCACCGCTGTGAAGATGGGATATCTCGACTCACCACCGCTGTGAAAATGGGATATCTCGACCACCGCGTTCTATGAGCTTCATGAGGTACCACAAGGTGTACCTCCCCCACAAAGGGTCAACATTTTGAATATCCATGAAGCTCATAAAACGCGAGATTAAGATCTTATTCCATTCAGACTTGGTACATCTCAATGTTTCCATAAACACAAGATTTGTTATAAATATGGTCTAGATCTTCTGGTACCTCCCCACGTCGGGTTTAAGATTTTGAAAAACAAAACTCTTAAAGAAAGCAAAATAAGCATCCAACTCTCTTCAAAATTCACACATACAAACACAAGATCTGTTATGAAGATGATATCTATCTACGAACCCCTTCTGGCACCTCAGCCACAAAGGGTCACAGTTTTCAAACTTTGAAACTTTCGAAACAAGTCAGTGATTCCTTACAACTTGCTATATCTAAAAATATTTCTCTCAACCAGGAACCTGAGATGAATACGGACTTTATGATTTCGCATAAACTTGGATATAAATGATCGATTTCCATACCAATATTTTTTATCTGTATTAGCATGAAAATGGAATACTTCGGTCGTCTATATCTGGTAACTCACGAAAATTTCTAAAAAAAATCATCACATCTCTCATATAAAATTTTGGAAGTAGTCGATATAGTCCAAACCTGGCACGTCACAATATTTATATCATATTTATTTAGGTCCGACACGAAAGGAACAAAATTGACCCATTCCTTCGGAACTTACACCATAGGAGGGCCAAACATTTAAATAATCATAACAGAAATCAATATATATTTAAATAATCAAACATTGGCTGAGGGCATACATCTGCTGGAAAAACCGTCTGCTACTTTTTAACTTCTTTTTCAAATATTTAGGCATATTGTTGTGAGATGTAGTAGTGTATGGTATTAAGCTTTATATGAAAAAATATAAACATATAAAATTTATTTTTTTACAAAATAAAAAAACAAATCAATAGTTGGAAAATTTTCAAATATGACAGAGATAAATTAAATTAGTAATGAATTACAAAAAATATATATACAAATAAATATCCGTGTTATATCTCCAACAATCACATGAAAACAAAATACGTATATCTGACAAATAGCAAATAATATATCATCGATAAAGGAAGTCCTCAATTACAGTGTCTCCCTCTCTCTCTCTCGCTCACGTGTAAAATGTGTGGTATTTTTTCGCCTCAACTGTTTTACGTAGTTGCAGTAAAAGACCCGTTATCAGCATTATCAATATGATATTTGGTAGGTGTTCTCCAAACACGACAATGACTAAGAAATACAACAATAACAACAATAACGTGGAATCAAAATAAAAAAAGTTAATAATTAAATTCGTGAATGCAAAAAGACGATAAGCAACTTTATCATTTTAAGTACGAGACCTTATATTGTGAATCAGAAAGGAAAAATATTGGAAAATACGAATTGTGTCAATTGGTTTACGAGGAATTGACTTAGAATGCTTTTTTTTCGCAAGAAATTTTTAAGGGTTGTCAATTTATAAGTTTTTTAATTCCATAAATGTAGTTTTTTTGGATTTTTTAATAACCTCAGCCATATAGCAAGAGAGGGTATATATCATTTGGTACTGCCGAAATGAGCGTCATCGAAAACAAGTTTTTAGACCCTAGGTCCCTTTGTACTTTGGAAATCCGTTTCAGGACATTTGGAGTCGATTTAGAGATGTCCGTCGGTCCGTCTGTCTGGCTGGCTGGTGCGAACGATAACTCTCGAAGGGAGTACCCAAACTTGGTACATCGTAATATTATTGTCAAATTTGGTTTGAGTTTGAAGATGGGCAAAATCGGTTCAATCCTCCTCCACAAAAGATCGAAATTAAAATATATATATATATATTGCACAGAATGAGACATGATTATCCGATTTTGCTCTAATTTTGCAAATCATAATGTTTGTGTCAGTGTCAGGTCAAATGCTAAAATGGACAATATTGGTCCACTCCATCAAGTACCTCCCCCTCAAGGGGTCAAAATTTTGAATAATTATAACTCTTATAAAATGTGATGTTATGTGATATCACAATATTTTTATTAGCCCAAGATCTGGTGTGAAGAAAGGATATATCGGTCCACTTCTTCTGGTCTAAAATTTTGAATATCCATGAAGCTCATAAAACGCGAAATTAACATTCGATTCTATTCAGACTTGGTATATATCAATATTTCCATCAACACCAGATCTGTTATAAAGATTGTAGAGATCGGACCATTCCTTCTGGTATCTCCCTCACAAATGGTCAAAAAATGGAATATCCAAGAAGCACATAAAACGCAGAATTACCATCCGATTCCAGATTCGTCACATTGCAATATTTCTATCAACAAAAGATCTGTGATAAAAATGGTAGAGATCGGAGTATTTCTTGTAGTTAAATTAACATCCGATTATTTTCAAATTGCACGCATCCCAATATTTCTACTTAAGAATGATCTGCTGCGAAGATGACCACTCCTTCTTGTACCTCCCCCACAAGGGGTCAACATTTTGAATAATTATGACTTTTATAAATTTTGAACTAAGAGTCCGATTGCGCTAAAATTTCACATATCCCAATATTGTTGTTAGCAAAAGATCTGGTGTGAAGATGGGATATATCGGACAACTACTTCTTGTACCTCCCCCACAAAGGGTGAACATTTGAATAATTATGACTTTTATAGAAATTGAACTAAGAACAATATATGTACTAACACAACGTTTGGTATGAAAAACGGATTGAACGGACCACTCCTTCTAGTACCACTCCCATAACAGGTCAAAATTTGCAATACCCTTGAAGCACATAAAAAAA